GTTTCAAGTCCAACCATTTCTACCCAGACCATTCAGTTCAAACCACACTGGAGAGGTTGTACTCCAAAGGCTAAACAAGCCCACATCAGTTGACAAAAGCAACCATCATGGTCTCCTCCCACGCCCCAGGAAGAGCTGTGACGATGTTCCTAAGACCCGCCCTTCCCTAACTCGTAATTCGACGTGCCGTTGCGTACACGCAGGGCCAGGCGCCGAGAAGGTCCCTAAGGGTCCCTAGGAGATAATTTGGCTGGGATAAGGGAGGGGCGTGGTTTCCCTCTAAGCGGGAGTCCGCCACACAGGCCCCTCCTCCTCGCCTTCCTCTGCGCGCCAAAATCAAATCCCTGAAGCCAATGACAGGTTGACTACAGCCCGCGGATCAGCCCAAATCGGCGCGAGTCTTAGAGCAGCATCTGCGACCCACTCTCTGCGTAAAGCGCTCGGCACAGCAAAACAGCAGAATGGCTACACCGCCTAAGAGAATCTGCCCTTCGCCCGCCACCAACTCTGAGGGGACCCGTATCAAGAAAATCTCTATGGAAGGGAACATAGGTAAGGAGTCCCTGGAAATGTTGGGATCAAAGCAGGATAAGTCACTGCGGCTGCGCCTGTGGCTGCCGCGGCTGAAACGGCCTCTTTGCTGTATGTCTCTGCGGCTCCTCAGTGTGGGCCTTGATTTCAGGCTGGCCTTGTGGACGCTGCTTCAGCTTCCCTTCCCGTCCGCCCCACTTCTCTTCCGCGTCACCAGGGCTGCGGTGCCCACTGAGACTCCAGGCTTAGCCTGAGACCTTCGAGGTTTGTGAGGCAACCTCTTTCGGCGTTGAGAACGCGCGTAGGGAAGGGTTTTCGTTTGTTGATTTTTTGGGGGAGGCTCAGTTCTGAAGAGGTGTAATATGCTGAACCTGAAAGTTGGTTTGAACCTCAAGGTTGAGGGGGTTCAAGCTCACCAGCTGCTCCTCGGAAACCCTATACATGGTCGCTATAGGTGGGAACCGACTCGACAACACTTAACAACAACAAAGCCCGCTTAGGGTCATGTTCCCACTACCACAATCAAGAAAGAGAACGTCATCATCACATCAGAAAGTTACATTTAGCATCTCCGTTGTCAGCCCCGTCCTCACATTCTAACTCATGGCAACCATTGATTTCTGTTAGTACTAAAAACAACCAAAGAGTTGCCAGGTGTTTCCTACTCATGGTACCCCTGTGTATGCAGAGTAGAGCTGCGCCTATTCCAAAGGCTTTGCAAAGCTAAGGCCAGGAGTCTGGGGGAGGTTATGCCTCTAACTGCGTATGCTTGCATCACCCAGGGACTCCTCTGCTCCTCTGTATAGTTTTGCCTTTTCCAGAATGTCATAGAAATTGGATCATAGAGTACAGTCGCCCCTTGGTGTCTTCAGGGGATTGGTTCCAGGATCCTTGCGTCCACCCAAACCCAGAGATGTTCAGGTTCCTTATATAACATAGAATGTTGGATGGTAAGTACTATCCCAGTCAGTTCCAGACTCACAGCAAACAAGTATAGGCATGTTAAGCAGTGGCTGTAGGTTTGAACCACCGACCTTCAGGTGAGCAGTCCATTGCTTATCCAATAGCGCCACACTAGGATTGGGATGAACGGGTAGTGTTTGCATATAACCTTTGTATAGCCTCCAAAACCAAACCCATTGCCATTGCGTCCTTTCAGACTTACAGTGACCCTTTATGGGTTTTTTGACCAGCAAGTGGTGGGTTTGAATCGCCACCTTGTGGCTTAAATCGACCTTGTTGTTCAGTGTTAATCCTACAGCGCCACACCAGGACTCCAAGGATTTAATAGCTGTGGAGTCTAGGTGTGGCACTGTAGAATAAGCACTGAGCTCAAACTCACTGGCTGCTTCTCTGAAACCCTATTAAAGGGTCCCTAGGGGCTGCAACTGACTCAATGGCACTTAACAACAACAACAACAAATAAGACCCTTTGGAGTCTTGGTGTGGCCCTATAGGATCAGCACTGGACTGTGAACTACAAGGTTGGAAGTTCAAACCCATCAACTGCTCCTTGGAAACACTATACAGGGTCGCTATGAATTGACACTGACTCTACAACACATAACAACATAAAACCCTTTAAGTATCTCTGGTAGCATAGTGGCTTACAAGTTGGGCTGCTAACAGCAAAGTCAACAGTTTGAATCTATCAGCTGCTCTTGTGGAGAAAGATGAGGCTTTTATTCCTGTAAAGATTTACAGCCTTGGAAACCCTATACAGGGTCACTATGAGTAGAAACTGACTCCAACATTAGAACACTTTAAAGAATCCCTTTGGTCCTTTCCTCTAATGTTGTTAGTTATTAAGTGCATCGAGTTGGTTCCTACTCATAGCGACCCTGTATAGGCTTTCCTAGGAGCAGCTGGTAAGCTTGAACCTCTGACCTTGTGGTTCATACTGACTTTGCAGTGCAACACATTAAACCACAACGCCACACCAGGACCTATAAACATTCGCACTAGGATATGCCATATGGTTTCTTTGTTTAGATTGATTTATTAGCTTGACAAAATTCATGCTTTAAATTTTGCATTCCTTATCTGCTCTCTCATACATTGTATTACAGTTGCTTGTTTAAAATGTGACCTTCTGTCTGCTGGACCCATCGTCTTGTATATAGCTTAGCATTTTCGTTTTGTCCCTCTATCTTATTTGACAAAGAAAAAAGCTGTAAGATGAATGAAATATGGATTTGGGTATAAATTTTTTGATTTCTCTATTCTTCCTCGAATATGAGTGAGCTTCAAGAAAGTTGTGGAAAAATTCCATTATCTTTCAAAACCATTTTTCCATAAATTTTTGAAGCCCCTGTATTTGAACTGTACCCGGTTAGTTTGATACATGCACAATTCTTCTCATGTTCTCCATTATGAAAATAGCCATTTATGTTAGATTTATGGAGGTCTTACCTCCTTTTTTCTACCTTAATAGTCTGTATAGAGTACCTTTTGGTCTCTTAATACTTACTTGTATTAGGAACTGTTTCTTTGACTATTTAAATTGTTAACTTTATTTAGTGTTCTCGGTTCTGGTCCCATGCCTTCATAGAGCATTAACTTGTTAATTAGCCTATTTTCTAGACTCATACCTCCCAGTCCCCATGCTAAAAACCTGGATATTTGTCACATACGTTACTAAAGGTAATTATGGTTACTTTTCTTGAACTAAACGCAACTTTCATTATAGGGAAGCCTATCGGAGACAGAGCTCAGCTAAACTGCTGTCTTGTTTTTCTGGGTCTCAGAAGTTGTCTTCCTTTGGCAGAGTCCTATACCACTTTTTAGTCACTGTTTATTAGTAGAAAATGCAGGTATGTGTCACTTAATGTCCATGATGTTGTTGTCGTTAAGTGCCCTGAAGCCGGTTCAGATTCAGTGTGAACCCCATATATGGTTTACAAGGAGCAACTGGTGGGTTTGAACTGCTGACCTTGTGGTTAGCACCTAGTGCTTATTCTACAGTGCCACACCAGGAGTCCAACGCCCATGTTCTGTAAAATGGGATGTAATGTAATTTGCATATGGTATGGACACCACATTTTGAAACTTTAAGGGAGCCTGATTTCTACCATCTTATCTGCTGCTGGAAGAACTGGAAGAACCGGTACAGCAGAGACATAGGATGCGGGCAGAGACTGCAGAGACTGATATAGCCGGAGGGAGCTTGTGTACTCAGCCCTGTCTGCTGGTCCACCTGCCTGAGCAGCAGGAACAGCTGTACCCATAGCCCCTGCCACCCCGTGGTGGACACCTACCTGTCTGCCTGACAAAGCTGGAGAGCCTACGCTCAGAACCGTGCCCTTACCTGTCTGTATCCCTCTGTGGTCCAATGCTGCAAGTCTGGGTTTGGGGTCTTTACAACTGTTGTTATTTGGTGCCGTCGAGTCGATTCCGACTCATAGTGACCCCATGCACAACAGAACGAAACACAACCCGGTCTTGCACCATCCTTGCAGTTGTTGCTATGCTTGTGCCAATTGCTGTTGCCATTGTGTCATTCATCTCCAGTGGCTGGTCTTTCCTAATAAGAAAGCCAAAGAAGAGCTATTTTCCCTTTAAAAAAATAAACCTTATGGGACCGTAGATGTGGACGTTACCCAGATGGACATTATACAATGTAATCTGTGTTTGAGTTTTTCCTCTTGGACAGGTTTCCACATTACACAGGTTCCAGCTTTCTCAGGTTTTATGTATTTTAAAATATATACTTTTAAGCGGTATCAGAAGAAAAGTGAATTTTACTGAAGGGCTTTCTGAACCCAGCTGATGCCTGATTTTTTTTTTTTTTTAAGCTTTTATTATGAATTAAGTGATAGTTTACATTGTACAAAATCAGTTTTGCACTCAACCAATTGTATTTTGTTTCATTGCAATGATTACAATCCCTTCTATGCACCATCGGTTAACAGTATTTGCCTCTATTCCTTTTTTTTTAATGTACATAGAAACACACAGGAATATATAATCATTTAAACAACAAAAGGGCATATTTTGCAAGCCAGTACACAGCCTTTCTCTTTCCATGAGTCTAGAGTCCTCAACTGCTTTATCGATCTATGCCATCACCTCTGCTTCCCTCTCTGGTGTCACTGCTTCTCTGTTTATGATCCCATGTTCCACTTCTGCTCTTCCCTCTTAATGGTTCTAGGGTCCTCTGTTCCTGAAATGAAAGATTAACTACTCCCCACTTTTTGTTATACAACTTCTATCTTTACAGTTGTAACAATCACAATTAGTCATGCTAACAATTACTCACTATTAAATCCAAAAAATCCTATCCCCATCTTCTTTCACCAGACCCATCTAGACAAGATGGAAACTACTCAGTAGAGATTCTACCTCCCCCGCACCCCCAACAGTGAAACTAAACTCCTTCCTGAAAACTTGTAAGCCAGCCACTTTGTGCCTTTATAGC